GCTCTGCACTTTTAATAAACCTCTGCCTCCTTACGGCTCTCTGCATCTTAAACCCATCAATCCTCTGCTCTCTGACTCCTTCCTCTGCGTTTCATATGAGTGGACGAGTGACGCAACATCCGGCCTCTCATCGCCCACTTTCATCTGCTTCTAATGACCCGCTCCATCGTCGTTTTTATTTCCTCTCACGCCTCTTTTTATTTTGGTTTCCCTTCTTTTCGCTCAGCTGCTGAGAGGGTTGGAGCCAATGCAGCGTCGGTGCTTGTGGAGAGGGATTAAAGGAAAAAGAGGGAGAGCTGAGCGGAGAGTGAGTCAGAGGAACATATAGGGCGGCAAACAGAAAGAGGCAGATTGACTGGGAGGCTGTAAATGAGCTTTACGGACGGATGGATTGAACGAGCTGCTGCGTGACTCGTTGAGCAGGGAAGACATCGACGTGTAACTGATCAAATATCTGCATCGATCCGTTTCAATAAACAATCCACAACCTTCAGCTAACGACGTGCAGTAATTAAAAGATGCAGGACGGCGGCCGTTTAGACAGATGTGGTACAGAAAGAGCATTTTTGTGGAACATTTAACGTTCAATCATTGTTTTTCTTTTCCAACATTAACATGACGAAACAGAGAATAAATAATCCAGGACTGCTTTACAAAGATAAAGACTTGCAACCAAGAAAAAAAAAAAATTGCTTTTCCTCTTTGTTTTTTTTGTTGTTGTTTTTTTTAATCTATGGTGGCCCTAAAGTGTAAATGAACAACATATGAAAAAACACAACAAAAACACAACATTTGAAAAACAGAATTACATGAAGCCAAAGCAGAAGTGGCCAAAATCACATTTGAAAAAAAAAAAAAAAAAAAAAAAAAAAAAAACGGAATTACATTTGAAAAAAACACACACACAAAAAAAAGGAATTACATTTGAAAAAACGGAGTTACATTAAGCCAAAGCAGAAGGAGCCAGAATCACATTTGAAAAAAAACAAACAAACAAAAAAAGGGAATTACATTTGAAAAAAACTGAGTTACATTAAGCCAAAGCAGAAGGGGCCAGAATCACATTTGAAAAAAACAAACAAACAAACAAAAAAAGGGAATTACATTTGAAAAAACTGAGTTACATTAAGCCAAAGCAGAAGTGGCCGGAATCACATTTGAAAAAAACAAACAACAAAAAAAAAAAAACGGAATTACATTAAGCCAAAATGGAAGTGGCCGAAGCGGAAGTGGCCGGAATCACATTTGAAAAAATGGAATTACTTTAAACCAAAGTGGAAGTGGTGTTTTTTCTACTTTATTAACAACATAAAACAGAACAACAGAATAATGTACAGTACACACACAACAGAGGTACAGTTAGCAGGCTAGCACCGATTAAAAAAAAAAAAAACACCACTTCCGCTTTGGCTTAATGTAATTCCGTTTTTTCAAATGTTTTTGTGATTCTGTTTTTTCCAAATGTTGTTCATTTAGACCTTAGGGCAACTGTAGAAATGTAATAAAATTGAGCAATAATTTAACCCAAAAGAAAAGCTGAAGGAGGCTGCTGCAGATTTCAGAGCTTCACTTTGCAGGTCGTCTCTGCGAACGTCTCCTTGCCGGACGCTTAAGTACCCTAATGTTGTTTGTCTGGCTCAGAGAGCGGCTCATTTCCATTGGAATTAGCTTGTAGCTCCTTGTCCACCTGCAGTTAGAAAGAGACATTTTGTTTACGAGTTATTGATCCGGGAACTTGGATTCGGGCTTCATGCTTCAGAGGGAAAAGGCTCTATCCCTCTTTATATTATTATACACCAATGTGCTCACAAGTTAACAAGAGCACCAGAGCTAATGACAAGCTTTGCGTCTTCCTTATGGGGAGGTTTGCAGATCATATCTGGTACAAGATGTTAACCATCAAGTGTCTTATGGGTCACTTCTTTAACAGATGAGGTTTAGTCATGGTCCATCAAACCAAAAAAAAAATTCTTAAACTTAGGAAATTGTTGCTAAAACCCCAGAATTTAATGCATGATCTCTTACAGCGGTGCCCAATCCTTGTCCAAGGGCAGGGTTGTCCAATCCTGGTCCTCAATGGCCACTATCTTGCATGATTTACTGGTTTCTCTGCTCCAACACACCTGGTTCTATCGTTGACTTGCCTCTTTATGTTATGCAGAAGTCTGTTAATGACCCATTGGTCTAAATCAGGTGTGATGGAGCAGAAAAACATCAAGTGGCTCTCGAGGACCAGGACTGGACACCCCTGTCCTAGAGGGCCACTACCCTTAATGTTTTAGTTGTTTGCCTGCTCTTCAGCAGGTCTTCCTGTTTCACAGAAACCTGTTAATTGCTCCTTTATTCAAGTCAGGTGTATCAAAGCAGAAAAACATAAGATCCATTGTTGTCATCGTTCTTTGTTGAAATCAGGTCTCTCTTGTAAATGA